AGCAGGAAAGCAGGCACGCACGCAAGCACGCACACACGCACGCACGCACGCACGCACAGCGGCAGTGGTACTGAAGAGTTAAGTTAGAAGAGGCCTGAGAGTGTCTGCTGGACTTAGTGACATAAGGCCTGCTGGTGCCTTTGGAGAGAGCACTTCCACATGATGGTAGGGCCACAAGCAAGAGGTAAGGAAACTGAGACAATGTTTCCTTTGACGCTTATTGTACTTAAAGATTTATCCTGGATAAAAATGTCTGGTGATCTGGGAGAAATGGCAAGACACCCACCACACTGTCCCAAAGTCTGAAGCCCTGCAGAGGTGGCTCTGGGAGGAGGAACCCAGAACCAGACAAGTCTGGCTGCGGTGGGTGGATGAGCATCTGGACAACTATGTCTCTGAGATAAAACTAAGCAGTATAGACAACCCTCTATAGCAGCTATTCTCAGCGTGAGCCTGTGACCAGACATTAGCATCACTTAAGAATTTTCAAGCCACGCAAAATCTCGGGACCCACCCCAGAATTCCTGAATCAGAAACTCTGGGGATGGGACCCAGCACTCTGTGCTAATAACAAGTCCTTCAGGGGACGCTGATGCTCATGTCAGCGAGAGAAGCACTGCTCTAAGTAAGGGAAGGCATATCACGTGGGCAAGTGGGATGGGTTCTGCGGCTCATTTCAACGCTTCAGAGCTATTTCTGACCTTAGGAGTTGCTCTAAATTTTTCATTTTTCTGATATGAAATTGCTGTTCAAATTAAAACCCACCTTTGATGACAGACACAGAGCTTGCCAAGGGCAGCAAATGCATTTTTTAAAAATCACTTACGCTGCTTGAAGACTTCAAGGGCCCGCTTCAGGGTGCTGAAAAACAAGCACATATATAATCTCAGTTCTGGAAACTGTACAATCTTATAATGCCTTTGTATGCTTCTCTCTGTCCACATCTTAAGAGTCTGTAGGCTCCTCTTTGCCTGTGAACTTGAGAAGACAGCAAAAGGCCAAAGCCCTCTTTCCACAATCCTAGGCATAGGCAATTCTTCACTGTCCACTTGAGCAGGAAAAGATATCAAAACTCTTTGGATTGCATATTCCCCAATGATAACATGTGAATTAAGAACCTTTTCTAGGCTCGGCGCCTATAGCTCAACCGGCTAAGGCGCCAGCCATGTACACCTAAGGTGGCGGGTTCCAATCCCCAGCCCGGACCCGCCAAAACAACAATGACGGCTGCAACCAAAAAATAGCC